TGGGCATCCGAAAGCCCCTCTTGTACCTGGCTTGCTACTGGGAACCGATCCCAGTTTCTGCTTATCCCTTCTTAGATTCAGATTTGGTTAAAGTTGCTTAAAACGAACCCAGGTACTTCTCTTGCTCATGACGATCAGCCATCCAGGTGATGCCGAAGGCGGGCTCGCCATTGAGCTTGTTCAGGCGATCCACACGTTCCTGCGTGGCCTTGAAGAGCTGGTAGCGGGCCGACTCCTCGTCCGTGTTGGAATAGCCTGTGGGTTCGGGTCGTGGAGCTGAACTTTTTTGTAAAGGTAGGATGTTGGACTCCCGCGAAGGATCGCGAAGGATTTAAGGGTTCGGGGCTTCAAGTCGCCATGGCAAGCATAATGATGAGCTCTGGTTCTAGATGGTGAAATTACTTATTATTATCTCAGCTAACCTGATCTCGGAATAGGGGAAGTGGAAGTATATGTTTTCCTTCGCCCAGTGGCTCTTCTGGAACTTCTGCTTGAAGGCCTCCCAATCCGGGTCAGAGATTGCAGCGACCGCCACGGGAAGAAGAACCCAGGTCAAGGCACAGAACATGGGTGCAACCTTTGGAGACCTCAGAGCCCCGGCGCGTTTTGTGGTTCTTTCGAGCCAAAATGGCTGTTGAACTCGGTCTCTTTGCGTCTGAAGGCTCTCCTGTTGCATCCAGGCCTCTTCAACTCCGGATGCATCACAAGTGCCCCTCCCCGCAAGAGAACACTGAAGCAAGGAAGCCGCCTGAAACTCTCTTTGTATGAAGAAGGCTGTTAGGCCCATGCCGAAAGTTCCCATGCTCTCCCAGAAACCACCCTTACTATTTGTTGGGCAGGCCGTCAAACTAGTAGGCTATTTGCATGGATCTACAGGAAGAGCTCAGTGACTCAGACAAAAATCAGGAATCGCGAAAGATCCAAAAATCAAAGACGGGACTCCAACAAAGGGAACCTAATAACCCGAAGCCCTCTCTCTCCCAGGCTATGCCCCAAAGCCCTAAACCCTATAAAAACCCTACAAAAACCATATAAACCCTATATAAACCCTATATAAGCCCTGTCTAAACCCTATATAAACCCTCTCTAGACCCTATCTAAACCCTATAAGTCCTAAGCCTCTTCTGGGCGCCCTGCGCAGTGCTCGGCACACTGTGGGCCGCTGCAACCTCGGCCCTGCGGGTAGAGCCCGCTGTAGCCTTCCTGGGGAGCGGTTTAGGGTTTAGGGGTTTAGGGGTTTAGGGGTTTAGGGGTTTAGGGTTCAGGGTTTAGGGTTTAGGGGTTTAGGGTTTAGGGTTTAGGTTTAGGGTTTAGGGTTTTTTTGCTTTAGGGGTTTAGGGTTTAGGGGTTTAGGACTTTCCCTCCTACATGGCAAGGACGAAGGGAGGGGCTTAGGATTTAGGGTTTAAGTTTAGGGTTTCAGCACTCACAGCTGGGACAAGCCGGGTGAGGCTAGCTTGTACATCGAAGCACAATGGCTAGGATTTAGGGTCCAGGTTTTGAGGTCTGGACGGTTTAGGGTAGCGTTCCGGGGAGGGGAGGCTCGAAGTTCGAAGAGGGTTCAAGCTTGCCAAGCCTCTACCTTCATCCTCGCTTGCATCGCGAGGGCCCAATGCCACCTCCTCCTTTCTCCCTCTGAGTTTGCCTGCGAGGTGACCCTGAAGGAGTCGAGAGTGTGCCTCCTGCATTAGGGTTCAGGGTTGTAGGGTTGTTCCCGGAAGGGGAACGCCTGATCTTGGTCCGCCTCTTCGAGACTCCGGGGGGCTTAATCCGCAAGCTGTATGTGAAGCTATGAGTGCCGAAACTGAGGCCATACTTACTTTTCACCCATCGTAAAGGCTGCATAATAAGTCCCCTGACATGGTTCCTCTCTGTGTAGGCTTGCGAACCAGGGCACTGCCAGGTTCAACGCTTCCTGCGCGAAAGCGTTCAAACCAAGCAGGAAGACCCGATCTGTCGCAAGTCGTTCTTAAGAGCTCACAACCAAGTGTATAAAAGAAAAGAATAAGAATGCGAGTAATCATAACTAGGCATGATAAAACTATGGAGCACACAAACTCATGATCACGCAGCCCGGACAGGTCCTGACCCATTTTCTGGGCAGTGACTACCACGCTCCGGTTCACGATGCACTGCGTGAGGTCGGAAAAATAGACCTGCCAGAAGTAGGGGCAGCAGGTTCTGCCAGTAGTCATGAGAATGCTACAAGTGCGCCATGAAAAAGAGTATTCGAATCACAACCCTAAATCTAGCTGCCCATCTGCTCGCAGGTCAGGCCCCAAGGTTCAACCGACGACAGGCCCTCGGGATGAGGGCCTCCGCCACGTCCCGCGGATCCTTGATTCCATGATGCATGACCTCGGCTGCAGTTTAGTCTTTGCCGTGTCCAAGGGCAGATGATACAGAACGACGTCAAGTGTCATAAACCCTAAAAACCTAAACCCCTTTAAACCCTAAACCATCTTGAACATAGCCTGGTGGCCGGCCCCACTGAGCTCACGTGCTTGTTCAGGTAGACGCCATCGTCGACGAAGAAGCTCCTTAGCTTCTGAGGCTCACAGCTCACAAAGGAGACCAACTCCCGACTCCTAATGTACGGATGCTGACCGAGCAACATTCGAGGCCAGATGGCAAGCAAACAGGATGCCTGGCCATCGCTGTAAGATGCTGTAAGCAGAATAAAAACGGCACAACCAACTCCTTAGGCTTGATGTGAAGTTTTAACTCCAGGCATTCGGCCAGCCAGCCTGGTAGAAGACCTTGCCCCTCCTCAACAACTAGTGCAGACGTATAAAAGCACGGTCAAGAATTGGCGAAGTCTGATCGCCTCCCATGTGGTTAGGCAACACCGGATTCTGGCAGACTCAAGCAGCGCCATACCTAGCCCACCAGATGGTGAAACTCTTGAGGCTTCCAAAGCAGAATGCCCGATTCGGGGGTCCGCATCAAAAAAAAGCCCGGCACCGACTCCCAAGGGGCTGTCTGCAAGAACCAGGCTCCCAGACGACCCTAGGCACTTCAGTTTTAGGACCCTGTGCCGCTGCCTAAACTCTAAGTTTCCGACCCTTAAGGAAATCTAAAGACCAAATCCTAAACACTGACATGTAAGCCCTCTCCCTCCTTGCAACTGGACAGGGAGTGAATTAAGCTTCCAAGCAAAACAAAATCTAAACCCTAAACTCCGGCCCTCAACCCTTGAAACCCCATAGACTCCACAGACCACCCAAAATCGACATGCATCCTGGACTAAACCCTGAAGAAGAATGCAAACCCAAGTCTGCAAACCCTGAACCCTGGACGCTAAAAACCTAAAAGGCCGAAAGCCGATCATGTAAACCCCGAGCCCTATAAAGCCTAAACCTTTTAAAAAGCCTAAGCTCTGTAAACCCGAAACCCCAAGCCCTTTTTAAAAAAAGACTCCGTCAACCTTAAAAAGCAGCCCGCGTGCAGGGACGTCTGCCTCTGCGGAGCAGCCGTGCTCGCGGCCCAGGCTCGTCTGCTCCATCCGCCACATCCTTTCAGGGAATCGCTACGAACTTTCAGCGTTGGGCTTAGGGGTTTCGGGTTCGGCTTAGGCTCTAGAGGTTTAGGTTCTAGGGTTTGCAACCAGAACTTGCGACCTGCGGTCGTTGGGAAAGCAAAGCTACCCGTGGCAGAAACCCGAACCCCAACGAGCGTGCCCTTTCACGGTTTCGTGCTCAGGCTTCCTTCTACTTCCGCTTACGAAGTCCTGAGCCGACCTCCCACCCTCGAGCCTGGCCCCTAAACTCCCTAAACCCCTAAAGCCCTAAATCCCAAACCCCTTTCAGCACGGACTGAGGTGCCGGCCAGTGCCCATGCAACCCTCACCCCGTCTTAAGGCAAGAGCACGCAGCTTTTCCCTAACCCCTAAACCCTAAATCCTAAACCCTAAAACCCTACACCCAAAACCCTAAACCCTAAACCCTAAACCTTAAAACCCCCAAAACCCTAAAACCCTAAAGCCCTAAACCAGTCTTAGGTGCAGGCGCTCGAGTCTTCGCGTTGTCTGAAGACTGA